TATTTTTATTCTAATGTTATTAATTTAATATAATTAGAATAGGAAATTTAAAATTTAAAATGGAGAATCAATAGGTTGATAAATGACATGATGCTAATAAAGTCATATATGATAAAAGAAAGAATAAATTTTTTTTTATTCTTTTATTAAAATAAAAAGATTGTTTTACTAATACTATTTATTTGCTCACTTTTTCTTCTCTCAATTCACACATCATTGTTTTTACCGACATTCATACTTCTGAAGATCGCTGAATGTCAACAGTGGCAAATCCTCTCTATAGTCTATTCTCAACGTCTTACTTCTCGTGTGTTTCTTAGTTTCTTATGGGACTTTGAGCATTGTTGTTGTTTTACAAACAAATAGTATCATTGAGTTGAAGGTCAAAGGACTAAAATTGGATACATGTAAAATTCAAGGGTTGAAAATTCAGAGTACTAACACTTAGTTGGATACTTGGATATGGGAATGTATATCAAAACGTATAGCAACATACAATAAATAGGAAATTGTTTGTAAACCTAGTTCAGTTTTAAAATAATAACAATACTTCGTTTCGTTCTTAGCTATTTTTGGAAACTAACAAAATATAATTTAATTAAAGTTTTAAACTGTTTAAAAACATCGATGATAATGAAAAGTATATGAATAAAAGTAAACTTATGATTACAATATATCATTCAATTACATAAGGAATGAAAATTATGAAATGAAAACGAAACCCCCTTCCACCATGGAATGAATATCATGCCATGAGGAGGAGTCATATTTATTGAAGAATGCTTCATTCCATTCCAACATGGTAAACAAACAAGATTTTTCATTTTGTTGTAATGTTTCATTCCATTCCAACTTTAATTACTGCATACTAATTACTATTATATCTTTATTTCTAAGGAATATTTTCGCATGTTTGTATAAAACTTCTTCTTTAGGTAAACTAGTGGGGATGTATGCACGCTGCGGCGTGTTTATTAATCCTATAATTTCGTCATTCGACACCATTTATGTAATGTTCTCTTACACATGGACCATTTATGTAAATTTGTTATTACACCAGAACTATTACTGTAATTTTGTCTTACATAAGGTCCATTTATGTAGTTTCGGTTTTACACAAGGACTATTTCAATAATCATGTTATTACAGGGACAATTTTTATAAAATCAATGTTACAACGACCATTTTTGTATCTTTGTCGTACATAGGGACCGTTACTATAATTTTGTCATACATAGGGATCATTTATGTAATTTTGTGTTACACATAGACCATTACGTAATTATTAGAAAGAGACAATGTACATTTAGATAATTTTACATATGGATCATTTATGTAATTTTCTGAAACATAGAAACCATTATATAATTTTGCAAGGACCATTTTTGTAATTTTATCAAACATAAGGAGTATTATAAAATTTGACACGAGTTGTTAAATTTACCATTAAATTAGAGTTATATTTCATAATTGGATCCTTCAAGGCCATTGACCAAGTTGAAAAACTTTATTGTTATAGAAATTTTGAAAATGCACGACGATATATATATATATATATATATATCTATATAAGATATATATATATATAGATATATATATATATATATATATCTATATAAAGAAAAGATAACAGAAGACACACGAATGCCAAAACACACTTTTGACTTTATTGAAGAACATAACTTGAAAACTTTAATCTCTTAACTCTCTGCTTATAGAATAATGGATCATATCGCATTATATACTAAAACAAACACATTAGAATATAACTAGGATTCCTAAATTGTAACCACTAAAACTTTCCTTGTTTACTTTCCTTATTGCTCAAGGAAAATACAAAGACTTGGACACCACTCCAGGATAACCTTTAAGCTGGATCATAACATGCCAAGTGGCCATATTTGTCTCAGCAAATTCGCCAACAATTACCCCCTGAATTTCTGAGTCGGGGTAATTCTTGCACGCCAGACAATCTCATCTCTGCGAACCTTATTCGAGCTAGAAATGGTAGTTTTAGGTATTTCCGGAAAAGTGATGAAAAAGTCTTTTCAAGTTCTTTTATCTTCCAGAAAACAAATAGTCTTTTTGGTAAACATCTACCTGCCTACAAATATAAGTGCCCAAAAAGACTTTTTGCCAAAAAAACAAACGAGTCCTTAATCTAACAAGATAATCAATAATCATTTGACTAAAGCAATGGATATGTAGATTATATTAGACTGGGTCAACTGAAAAAAAAAATAGATGTATACTTTCCTTTATTTCTTTTGTATATCATTCTACTCTCATCTTTCAGTTACAAAACGTATTTTGAAAAGTCCATCCAATTATAATAATGTCATACAAATGCAAAGAAGTCTTTATATTTTGACTCTATTGACAAAAAACCACTCTTATTTTATTTATTTTTATTTTTTTATAATTTAACTATTAAAACCAATAAACACTTGCAAGAACCATACACATAGTTACTTTTTCCCATCTTTACCAAATTTAGTCTTCAAACATGTCACCATTTTCCCATCTTTCATTCTAAATTTGGTAAAATGTCATTTTGCTTATTGCAACACAACCATGGCTAGAACCATACATATATTTTCATTTGTCTTGATTGTAGTTTTTATGAAAGGTTTTGCATTGCATCTTATTCTTAGATGGCATTCGATAACATAGTTTCAGTTTAAACCAATAACTTTTTACCTGTAAGATTTCTCCATATTTTCACAAAATACGGTAATGTTAATTATAAGTATATTGCTAGAAAATAACAACATGCTTTACATTTTTTTACCAACACATACTATATATTTTATCTTTTACCTATAATAGCAATGTTAACTATATGGTAAATTGGAGGAAATAACAACGTGTTTTACTCTTTTAGCAAAATAGAGGGATGTATTTGCGTTTCTTTAAATAACATTGTACTTAGGACTTTCAAATAATAATAATGACAAAGTATTGTTATTGCAGGAAATAATAACAATATGTAACTTATAAAAAAAAAATTATTTTTTAATTCCTTGCCCATAACAACAAAGTACTTGGATTTATTTTCTAGTTTAAGCCAAATTGCCAGGACCCAAACTAGCAACCGATCAATCTACTTAGTTTTGGCCAAACCATGAACACCCTTTTAGGAACCATCGAAAAAGGGTGGTACATTTCGTATAGACATTAACAAATAAGATGTATGATATATAATATGTGCATTTTAAATGACAAAAGTTTGGATCCCTTTATGGAATCATTGAAAATCGAGTATTATACGTAAGAGAAAATTACACGGATGGTCCATGTGGTTTGTGGTCACTTGCACGCTTGGTCCCTAGAAAGATTTTTTAACTCGGACCATCCCCGAAACTTTAATTTGTTACCCGTCCAATCCCTCTTTTAACGTTTCCGTTTGTTTACGTGTTAGCCACCCACATAGTGGGGGTATTTTTGTCATTTCACCATTTCAAGCCTCTAAAACCCACCTCGTTCATTCTTTTTCTCAATTTTTTCTTCTCACTTCTTCCCTTCGTATTCTTCTCTTGGGCATGCGATCCAGACAAAAGGGAAAAGGTGCACATTCCCACTTTCCGGTGGCACCATGCTGCTGCTCAGGTGTGTGTTGTGTGTGTCTGTGAGTTGTAGTTATCAGAGACATATAAGCAGCCGACGACAGATGTCCGCAACCGGAGCTGCTCGAAGAAGAGAACCAGAACTATGAAACGGAGCGGTAGTCTCTCATTCTGGGTGGCGTGTGTGCTGGCTTCTAGTGAAAGTTTTTGGAAGTGCATCAACCTGCAGAGTAACTCCCGATCGGAATCTGTCAGCCATGGATGTGCCTTAAAATTACGATTACAAGGTTTAGCCATTTGACTTCGAACTTCCGCTTCAACATTTCAGAAATTTCTATGACTAAATCGAAAAATATTTTGTCCCTCTTTATATGATTGCAAATATTACGTATAAGAAAATCTTTATCCTGAATTTCTAACAAATTCCTTCTTAATTTTGACTTTAAAAGTCAATCGTACCTTGAGATATAGATCTATTGCTCGATACATTCCGTCATCGATTTAGCTTGCGAAATCAGGGACAGTAGCAACCAAAGATTGAAACGTTTTGAGCTTTAAGTTAACATCAGATGCGACCTCAGCAAGATAGTTGTCGATGAGATTAGCCACCATCGTCACGGGTGTAAGCGAGTAAGAATTCCTTATTAAATCATCTTCATTGTCTTCTAAGCAACCCAAATCAGTAATTTCACTTCCGTCTTGAACGTGATCTCGATCTGCAGCCATGAAATGATCAAGCATCCTTTGAACACAATCGATCTCATAAAGTGTCTCACTTGAATACCCCATATTAGGAATGAGAATATCTTCAATGGAAGCTTGATCCATCTGCAAACCGACCCGTCTTTCCAAATTACCATGACACACAGGGCTACAATGACCACAAAGAATGAAAGGGGTGGGATTTAGAGGCCTTGCAATGGTGAAAGGACAAAAATGTCCCCGGTATGGGGGTTACTAACACCTAAACAAACGGAAAAGTTAAGAGAGGGACTGGGCGGGTAACAAATTAAAGTTTTGGGGACGGTCCGAGTTAAAAAATCTTTCTAGGGACCAAGGGTGCAAGTAACCACAAACCACAGGGACCATTCGTGTAATTTTCTCTATATATAAATCTTTTCTTAATAAGATAATGTATTCTGAAAATATATCCAAATTAGTATTGACAATTTAGTGTGATTTTGGATGAAGTTGTTAGAAGAGGGTTGAATTTTTAACATATAATGTTGTAATACGACAAATAAATTTAGATATCATAATAAATAAAATTATTGAAGTACATTGTTATTCATCACACTTAATCCTTGTTTTAACAAGAGTCTTGAAGTAAAGGGACTGAAACTGAATACATGGAAAAGTAAAGGGTTAAAATAGATGGTCTATATGATTTAGGGGTAACATGTGTAAATGAAAACACAACGCCGGCATTTGTTGGATTTCTGAAGAAAACACTGGTTAGGGTTTTACAGTGATCCGAGAGTTACAGATTGGCTGGCAGCTCGTTAGGGTTTTAGAGGATTCATTCGTTGAATTTGTGTGAATAAGATGAAATCAGTGGTTGGAATGGTGGTGTCGAACAAAATGCAGAAATCGGTGGTGGTCGCCGTCGACAGGCTCTTCCATAATAAACTCTATAATCGCTATGTCAAGCGCACCTCCAAGTTCATGGCCCACGACGAACAAAATCAGTGCAATATCGGCGATCGAGTAAGTATTCCCTTCTTATTTGTTATGTTAAAATCTTTTTTCTGTTAACGGCGCCTCCTGTAATCGAAGTCCTCTTTGTTACTGCAACTATTCGAAAAAAAAGAAGCCACTCGAATCACCATAAAAAGTGACATTGCAAGATTTGTACAATATGCTCTAACCTGATCATTTCACCTTTTAGGTGTTATGATGAAATCATATGAAATTGTATCACAACATACCAGTAAGTAGAATTTTATTAATTTTGAAATAAGAACAGTACTTGGTCTGGTCTTCAATTAAAAATTCCGAAAATTTTCCTCTAACTCTTATTAGGAAACAAAAATGATCGTTCAAAACACCATTAGTAATTATATACTTATATTTGGAGTTAATGTTTGTAAAATTTGAATAATGTGCTCTGATACTGATGATTTTCAACTTCAGAGTTGATTCAGTTAGTTGTATATGGGAAAGTATATCAAAATATATGGCAACATACAATAAATGAGATATTGTTTGTCTGAAACCTACATTCATTTTTGCAATATTTGGTTTTTGATCATTTTGCACTTGGCAAATTACATTTGAGAGTCTCAGTTAGAAAGTGCTTCCAATTTTCTCAAGTATCAATAAACAGTGAAGAAAATTAGTGTTCTTTTTATAGGTTTAGGTAGAACTTAGACCTCAGTTCTCAGTTAATCATTGTCTTTTAGCCAACTGTGACAATATCAAAGATAGGTGTCATGTAATCACATAAATTAGAAAATAAAGTGAGTGAAGGGAACAGACTCAAATGTAAGGATCAATAGAAGCATAATTAATAGGAATGAAGATTCACTTATAATAATTAAGATAATGTAACTATGCAAAACATTGTTTTTACTTTTTTTGTTTTGTTGATTTAGATGCCAAAATATTGTTATAATTATTATCGAAAAATAATAGTTCAGTGGCCAATTTAACCTGAAAATAGTTAAGTGGCCAAACTGATAAACTGATGAAAGTACAAGTGTGGAGGAGGAATTTATACAAATAAAAGTAAACTTATAATTGTTATTTTCAGGTTAAATTGGACCCTTCAAGGCCATTGAGCAAACGGAAGAACTGGGTTGTTGCAGAGATTCTGAAAAAAGCACGAATTTATGCACCTCCTGCTCCTGCCCCTCCCACCAAGACACCACTACCCGATTCATCTTCATCCTAAGGTTTTCGTTTTCCATAACCAACCTACTTTTATTTATTTATTTCTTTTTTTCTTTCTTCATAACTCTTCTATTACAACATTCTATTATCATTTGACTACATTTTTTGAATCATAACAACTTAATTGAGACTACAATGTTGTAAAGGAAAGAAGCAAAAGTTGGATGTTGTAATAAACAAA